GTATCTGTATATTTCACAAAAAAATGATATACTGTATTTTGAATGAATTTTAGATAAAGTGAATTATTATAATTTACAGATTGATATTCTTTTGATATTTTTAGATAGATTATAATTTTTCTCAAATATTTTAATAGTTAAAGAAAATATTCTCTAAATTATAAAATCCAAATGCAATAATTAGAAATTCTTAAAATATCGGTTAATTCTTTTTAAAAGCATATCGTATAACTTACTATTGACTACTATTTTCAAATAATAAATAAATTTATCACATATGAATTGGATATGTTAGCATTGTGCCATTTTAATTCACTTTGCTAAATTATGGTTTCAATCTTTGTTTCGTTAGTTTTGTGGGAATTGTAGACAATATTTCATGAAATGTTCTTAAATGGAAAACTTATGTATTTCCCAATATACTTATCTAAACTAGACAAGGTCTCAATTTTGGAATTTGAGTTTATCTTATATCTTATACACAACTTTTGTAATTTATGATATTTGTAGGATAACATCTAAAGTATTTTTAAAAATACATCCATTGTTTATTAGTTTACAACATATAACTCTTACCAGAATAACTATTTCATCACACAAATATAGGCAACCCTGATATACAGTGTTTTCTGTTAATGTAGAAATAACTCATAGTAATGTATAAAGTTTTATTTTAGGCATGAATTACATGTTCATTTTGAAACTTTATTGAAAGTGATATATTGTTCACTTTAACTGTAACATTTTTATAAATTTATAATGCATTTTAATAATGTATGGGTACTTTAAAAGTACTAAAAAGTATTTATTCTGCGACTGTACAGTATATCAAACTTATTTGAACTTGATATTATACTATATTATAGTATGATATTATACCGGTATTAATATTTACAGTATAAAAATTATTTGAAATATATATAGTAGCTAATGAATTATTAATTGAATACAATATATGCACTATTTATAATTTAATTTAATAATACATTAAACAAGTTCATTACAAATATATATTTATTGAAATGATCTGTATCTCAAAATTGACAACAGTAAAGCACTTTACTTATTAAAAAACAGACCAAAAAATCAAGAAAATATATTTTCTGTGTAGACAACAATCTCTGATAACATAAGACTTAAAATATATGATTTGGACAAAAGAGTCGATCGGAAGACATGTCGGCGCAGAAGTCCGTCAGAAGACAGTCGGCGCCAAAATGAGATCAATAAATAGGGATTTGAAAAGCAGTTGATATATCTTTGATTTAAATGAAACACTCTTTGGTTTTGCTTTCAATTCATACTGTGAACTAACGATTCAAAGAAATCGATATAAAAATGCTCAAATTCTTGAGATTATATAAATAATGAATCAACAAATTTATTTACAAATTTTTAACTGGCTGCTTTACAGTAATAATAGTTTCAGTTTATACACTTAATATAGAAATTCATATAAGGATTAAGTGTAAAATGAGTTCTTATAATAGCGTTCGTCCGATAATAGCTCCTCACTATCACTGCGATAACACTGTGTCAGCCCATCAACCAGTTTATCCCGATTATAATCAATCAGATTATATGACTGATAGACATGATCGCAGATACAATACCTACGACCCAACTACTGGTGAATATTTAAGAAATGGTGAACAACCGAGAAATGATATGCGATTTATAACTGGCGGACAATATATAAGAGAGAGACGATCCATAATTTGCTGCAAATTCTGCCAAAAGAAGATTCCCATCAATTGTTTAACCGTTTCATTGATAACCAGTTTAATGTTATTAATGATGTTTTCATTTATTCATCTCATAGTCGACGCGAATTCCAAGACTTCAGTAAACAGTGAATTGCTTCAAGAGATGATTTCAATTATCATATCCTTTGTGTGCATCCTTTCGTTTTTACTTTTAATCCGATATTTGTATTCAAATAGACATAAGAAGTTGTGTTTAAAATACCAATCGAGTGATGATGAAGACCAGCAAAATAATTCATTCAATGCTTATGATCCTGAACAATTTGTTTGAATATTTCAATTTCATTTTTAAATTCTATAATTCTTTCAAATTCTTAGTTTGATTAGTGGCTCCAACAATAATTTGAGCAATCATGTATTCAAAATGTTTCTCATCTTAATAATTCAAAATAAATTATTTCTTAATTATTTTGTTAAAGTTTTATTTTATAATTATAATTCACTTTTTAAGTCACCGTAATAATACATGTTCTTAAATTAAGAATCTTAATGATAAACAAGGATAACTGAAGTTAATCGATACATACACTTTTCTATTTATTTTAATTAATATAATAAAAGTTATTCTTTGTAATCAATTCCTTTGGATTAAATTTCTCAATATTAATTTATTTATTAAATAAATCCAATAAATTACTTACGGAAAAGCGTATAAAAATTTAGAAAAAAAATCATTTGAATAATTATATTAAAACTAAATTGCATAAGTTACGTCTAATTATAGTAATGATACACAAATATTATAAACAAGTAACTTTATAAATAATTCATAAGATTTATTTTTATATTATGAGTATAAATTATGATTACACAGGTTGTTAGTAGTTTTCATAAATATTCTTATTAGTGTTACTGCAATACTACTACAATCTTTATTACTGTTGAAAAAAACAATAAATCTTACTTTTTTGAGTACTTTCGTTGAAATCTATAGTTTTATAATTAAAATTTGTTTACAATTTATCTACTGTAAACTATGTTTTGAATTTTTTTTTGTAAAATAATTTATTAAAATCATTATTATTACGATTTTCATATAACAAAAACTTATAACACATTTAAATAATTAAAACAAACATTATTAAAATTAATATTTTATTTCATTCTTTATTCAATTCATATTACAGTTTAAACAGTTAAATTACAACTCATTATTTAGTAAATTGTTACCAAGTACATTGGACACAAGTCAACATTTTTTATATCATAATAAAACAAATGTCAAAATGAATTATTGCTCTTTAAATATGAAAACAATATAAATATTTGCAAACATAGATAAAAGAAATATATGAAACTTTAAACTTAATTTTGTATACTATAGATAAAAATATTTGAGCAAATATTGATTTATTTAAGGAAATACACAAAATAAAAAACATTTTCTAATTTTCTGTTCTAGAAAAATACGAAAATACGTGAAAAGTTTTATTTCTTTAGCCCTCAGTAACAATATTTAAATTCTGGAAATTTTGTTTGAATTTATTGCAAACATTTAACATTCTTTACACATTTGAGGCCCTAATATATCCGTTAAAGCGAATTATTTAAGAAATAGCTTTTGTTTAAAAAACTATACTTTCATTTGAAAGTGTTTCTTTTAAAATAAATTTTTCATTGCTATCCATTCCTATTTTATTATATTTACATAATGCTATTATATTTTATTAGCCATTAATTTTAATCCTAAAATAATATTAAAACTATATGTTAATATAATTATGCTGCATTCTTTTGATGCACATACTGTATTAATTTTATTGTTTTATTTTAAATCAAACTGTTAGACTCATTTAAATTGAAATAATTGAAAATTCTTATAAAAAATAAGATTATGTTCATAAGACAAATGATTTTTTAAATCCAAAGTATTAAGATTTTTAAAAACATGGCAAATTACAATTTGTAATCAGTAAAAATAATGACTAAATGAATGTTTTGTAATCCTAAACAACAAAGCATAGAATGCTATTATTATTAATATTTTTTTATTGATAAATCGTTTATAATCTAAAATGATTTCTATTTGTATTTTAACAGTTAGACAACAGCATGTCTAATCAATAAATAATTATAGATTAGTGAAGTGTTTTTAAACAAATAATTAATTAATATGTCCCAAAGTATAAATTCAGACTATTTTATCTTAAGTTAAAAGCAAACTTTCTAAAAAATTACCTGTATCAATACACGTGGCATACGGGGTACTCTATAATACTATATACTGGTATTTTTAAATGTGAGTATCTTTATATAGCAATGTAAGTATTGTATTAAATAATATCCTTTTCCGTATGTAATTTAACCTTGTTAAATATATTTAATATTATATAAAAGATACAAATACTTAATTTTTTATTAAAGGTATTTAGTACAAAATAGTATAATTTGAAATAGAGAATAGCATAGTTAAGTATACTGTCAATAATTGACTAACACTGATCTACACTGTAGATTCTACCGGTATAATAATATTCGGTGTATCCTTGAATCGTGTGCTAGCTCATTGCAAAAGATACTTTATTAAAAATGATTGACATAATGTACTGTATTATACTGCATAAAAATTACTAAAAAATTGTGTAAATCGATGAATAAGTGTTGGATATGAATCATATCATATGATTTGAGACCTAAACTCACAGAATATTCGTGAGTTCATTACATGTACTATCATGTGATATATTTGACACTATGATAACTGTATCTATAAAACAGTGCAATCAATTGAAAACATATAAACCTAGTTAGCAAGTTACTGAATAATATAATCATTATTATGGTGAATGTGGTCATAAGTAGTTGATTGTATCCATAATAAGGTATAATAGTTGGTGTGATTTGAATCATACAAAGTATACTAATTGCTGGCAATAATGACTCATATATAACTCAATCACTGCCCCATTGGCTGCACTATTGCCGCACTCGTAGACACAGCCCAACAGTAATGCGTTTGTTATGTAAACAAACAGTTGTTTTCATTTATTTAACACTCAATTGAATCTCATTTGATATTTAATTTAATTTTATTTACATTAACTGTAATATCATATTACAAATAATACCAATCATTTGAGTCATAAATTTACAAATATATGAATGTATTTGTGTGTGAAATGAAAAGCAATTCATTTGAGGTTTGTTTACAAAACATATTTACTGTCCATTCAATTGATTGCAAATCACTTTGCATTTGACACTCATTTCATATTTCATTTGTACTTGTTCATTTGTTATTACATTGTATTGTATTATACTATTAATCACTTAATTAACACCACATTTGTTTGCCATAACTTGCGATAGTATTAAGTAATATATTACATGACATGATATGACATGAATTGAGTTAACATATGATTTGGTGATTAGGAAAGTGGACACCAATTGACAAACATGTCTACCAGTGATAATCACGGACCAAATGCATCTGAAGAGGAGGAATGTAATGATTAAGATATTTGTAATGATCTGACATTAACTCAAAGACATTGCTATTTAAGTGAATTCAAGTCATAAAACCAATTATGGAGTGATTAATGAGAGAACTGATGGCAACTCCGACAAGACTGAAGAAATTGACACTTATTTCAAGGCAACGGTTCCCGTTCCGGACACACCATCCGTATGTGTTTTGTCTGTAAAGGGTTTCAATGATTGCTAAATGAGTGATATTTTCAGTATTCATTCAGTTGGCGAAAGTTGTGGGCCTTTACGGGTCCGGGATTTCTGATGAGTATCGCATATCTGGATCCGGGAAACATTCAGTCAGACCTTCAGTCGGGAACTATAGCTCAATACAAGCTGTTATGGGTCCTCATGTGGTCCACAGTATTAGGTCTTCTCATGCAGAGACTGGCGGCCCGTTTGGGTGTCGTCACGGGATTACATTTGGCTGAACTCTGTTACAAACGTTACCACAAAGTGCCGCGACTTCTCCTATGGATTATGGTTGAGGTGGCCATCATTGGCTCTGATATGCAGGAAGTCATTGGAACCGCTATCTCTCTATTCCTCTTATCTAATCGAGTGATCCCTCTTTGGGCCGGAGTTTTGATCACTATTTTGGATACCTTTACGTTCTTAATGCTCGACAAATACGGGTTAAGGAAATTGGAGGCATTCTTCGCATTTCTTATGTAAACCATTTCTACTCAATATTTCGCAAAATTATAACCAATTTCTATCACTTATGTCCAGAACATCAATGGCTATCACTTTTGGTTACGAGTACTTCAAAGTGCAACCACAAGAACTCCAAGTGCTCGAAGGGTTAGCCCTTCCCTTCTGTAGTGATTGCGGTTCCGATGAATTGATGCAAGCGGTCGGCATAATTGGTGCCATAATAATGCCTCACAATCTATACCTACACTCAGCTCTCGTAAAGTCACGTAATGTGAACCGAAGTAAGAGAGAGGAGGTGCGCGACGCCAACCGATACGTGTTCATCGAGTCGGCGATCGCTTTGTTTGTCTCATTGCTTATAAACATCGCAGTGACCGCTGTTTTCGCGCACGGCTTGTACCAGAAAACCAACGCTGAGGTCTACCAGACGTGTTTGGCCGCCAACATCAGCCAAAGCGAAGGCGTATTCGACGGCAACGACAACCACACAATTGACGCCAATCTATACAAAGCGGGTGTATTCCTCGGCTGTACGTTTGGCATCGAAGCCATGTATATCTGGGCCATCGGTATATTCGCTGCGGGACAGGTATGTGCGATGAGAGCATCGATTCAGTGACTCAGTTGTGTTTGTATCGCAGTCGTCGACAATGACGGGCACCTATTCGGGTCAGTTCGCAATGGAGGGCTTTCTGGACCTGCATTGGCCGCGTTGGAAACGGGTCCTCTTGACGCGAACCATTGCCATCATTCCAACCCTTTTGATCACATATTTCCAAAACATTAATAACTTAAGCGAAATGAATGATCTGCTCAACGCTCTGATGAGCCTTCAGTTGCCGTTCGCTTTACTGCCGGCCTTAACGTTCACGTCGTCGCCTAAAGTGATGGGAGAGTTCGTCAACGGATTCGCTAATAAAGTGTTGGCATCTGTCCTGTCGGTTGTGGTCATATCTGTAAACCTATACTTTGTGTTCAATTATGTGAGCACTAAGTTCTCGAACAGTGTTTTCGTATTCCTGGGAACCGCACTATTCTTCGTATATTATATCCTATTCTTGATATATTTGGTGAGACATTGAAACCCAATATATTTGATAAAATTTACTTGATTTTTATAAATATTTCATTACAGAGCGGATGTCTATTGGTTGTGTTGGGTGTAACCAAGTTGACTGAAACGCCAAGAATTGGAAAATATTTTATGGAAAATGATTACATAGAATATAATTATGAATGTATTGATAATCCTTCAGATGAAACGAGAACTCAAGTCAATGCAGTCCTTCCCTCCAATTCTATTACGAGTTGAGGGAATGTCTG